GGTCCATTTACCATTTACCAATTGGATTGCAACCAAAGTTTGGAATGTTGTAAAACCATACAATTCTACCAAAAACAGATCCACAATAATACAGAGGATACAGAGGGCACACACAGGTCAAGGTCTGTACTATGTATTTAACTTATAAAAATAGTAACAATAAAGTCAAAGTTAAGTCAAATAAATGACATTATTAATGTCATTTATTTGACTTAGTGCTGGCCAATAATTTGACAGTACTTGTATTTCAGAGACAAAGATTTGACAATAAGATACAGGACAGAAGGCAGTGTTATAGATATAGGGCAGCAGTGAGTGCTGTAGATACAGGGCAGCGGTCTGTACTGTGTATTTGATTAAAATAATAGTAACAATAATGGCATAATTAATATTAACTTTCTTTAATCAGTTTTAATTAAGTCCAAGGCCATAAAGTATACCCCCTGTCAAACATTATTATAATAAGAAAAAATATATATATTCTGAATTTTCTCTCCTGTTCTCTCTCTCTCTCTGTGTCTCTCCCTCTCTCTCCCTCTTCCTCTCTCATGTTGTAGGGTGACCTCACTCAGGCCGCTGCCAGCCTTTTCCCTCCCTCCCTCCCGATGGAAGTCAAAATAAATGCTGTGTTTTTTGTTTCTTCGATCTCGCGTTAAACACGAAGCATCAGCTCTATGATGCATGTCGTGAGAAAGAAAGCCACCCTGTCGCATGTCGAGGTAGCTGGAGGGAGTACGGTGGAGAGATCGGGCGACCTGTAGTATGAGACTCCAGTGTGTGTGTGTGTGTGTGTGTGTGTTAGATAGAGAGAATGTGTTTTTGTCTCTCCATTTGAATTTTAAATTAAAAGATGTAGCCCTCAAAAGCAGACATCTGGATACTGGAATCCTATAAGAGACAAATTGAAGCGAGTGACCTTGAATGTTTTCTTTCTTTCTTTTTGCTGACCCTTTATTTTTGAATCAACTAACGCACTATATAAGTAAATATCATACTCACGCAAGGTTGACCAGATTAAATGTCAATCTCAGACATGCTTTCCCGGGATTACCTGGAAAGTAAATCAATAATTCATCACTACTATCAAAATATAAATATCTATATTTATCCGCTTTTTATTCTTCTTTTAATGTTTTATTTAGTGTAAAGCTAACTATGATAGGGCCTCGAGAAGAATACTAATTTTTATAAGAAAAGTTATCGTTATATACCTTTTATTTTCACGAAGCAGTTTTAAAATAGTGAATAACTAACACTGGATTTAGTTAAATTAAGGTTTTACAGCACACACAGACACTGTAGTGGAGGGTTAATGACAGCATACATCAGATGTTGAGTTGTGTTATATCCAGTGCAGTGTAGCACACTTCCAGGTATGACGTCATTTTTATTCTCAGCGATTTTTGATTATGAAGATAATAAATGACCACCTGTCTTCTGTGTTTCTCTCTTCCTCTCCAGCCTGCAACACAGAGGAGAAGAAGGACAGGGGGAAGACAAAACAAGAGGAGTGCCTTAGAAGTGGGGAAAAAAAAGAGGAGCGCTACAGAATCTGCAGCACTTTGTGAACTGTGAAGAAAAGATGAGACCATTAAAGAAACACAGAGGGCGTTCTGCCCCGTTAACGAGAGGCAGAGGCGGGAGAAAGAGAGGGGGCTCTCAGCCGCTTCAAGAGAAAGACCCCAAAAGAGTCAAAACACTCGTCAAAACCACGCAGCATACACCCAACGTTCCCTCCGCACGTAAACAGACCCCGCCCGCAGCCACCAACTCTGAGGAGGAGCCGATCGCTAACAGCAACGCCCCCAAGACGGAGGAATCTACTGAGCTGACGAAACCTGTGGAGTCCGCTGAGAAGGATGGAAAGAAAGAAGGGAGCACAGAAAAGGAGAAGACGGCGGGCACGAATGGAAATAGTGCCATGTCCGCTGATACTGTAGCATTTCCTACCTCTGCCCCAGCGCCGCTCTCCACAGCCACGCCCCCGCTGGCCACCAATCACAGCCCGAGCTTGGGCTCAGTTTCCAGCAGGAAAACGGCCACATTTAAGGCACGCGTACCCAAGAAGAAATACACATACGAGCACTTTGTTAACAATACAAGTGCCCCGACTACCATTCCTACCTCCAGCCCTGCACTCATACACAACAGTCACTGCAATATTAACAGTAAAATCAGTGATAGTGTGAATATGCCCAATAATAATTTCAAGAGCAGTAACAGTATTAGTAACAGCATTAATAAAAACATTCGTGTTAGCATCAATAGTAGTACTAACAGTAACACTACAAGTGGTATAACCAGCCTGACTAACAGTAGTGCTGGGAGCCATAGTACTTTTATCACTAGCAGTAATAGTAGAAGTAATAATTGCTCAGGTAATCAGCCATCAGTGCTAACTGTGGATAGTAAAGCTACAGAAGCAAACCATTTTGTTTCCACGGAGGATGGGGCCCTCGGGACAGCAGATTCCCAGGAAAAAGATATCCAAGTTGGGGAAAATGAGGCTGAGGGGGCCCCTAACTCAGTGCGTTCTACGTCCACCGATACAGCTAGTGAGCACTCAGCCGACCTGGACGTGATGGAAGCAACAGGGCCGAGCCTTCATCAAACGAACTCCCACATCCCGGCTCCAATCCATAACTCCCACCATAAAGAGGCCAGTCTTTCAGAGGGGCTCGCCGAAGCTCTGGCCAAAGGCATGAAAAACCAGAGAGTTCTCGCTCGCCAGATAAAGAGGAGCGTGGAGAGGACTCAGGACTCGTGCCCTGTGTCGCCCGTGTTCAGACCGGGGGTGGTGCGTAAGGTGAGTGGAGGTTCTGTTGAAGTCCAGCTCCAAGTCGATGGAAGCCTCGTTAAATACCCTTTCCATGGGGGGACCGTGATGGCCCCGTCACCAGGAGCTGAGAGCACCGTGGAGTTCATTTTGGACGCCCCCCCACCTGGCATGGCACCTGTGGCTGTCGGGACTCGAGTGTGTGTGCCCTTTGGTGGAGAGGAGGGGGGTCCTCTGCTGTACAGGGAGGGGATTATTGCTCAGGTGGACCCCCACCCCGGTGTCTCATTTCCTTACCAGGTGCTCCTGAGTGAAGACAGGGAGACTGAGGTGGATGGCGGGGTGGGGGAGGAGAAAGAGAAGAGGAAACCTAACGCTCAGGCTGTGTGGGTGTCCCGGCAAAGTCTGAGGCTGCTCACCCCTCCGTGGGAGGTCTCGCATTTGGACGGTGGGAGGGCAAAGGAGAGAGAGCGGGAGAGGGAAAGGGAGGAAAGGGAGCGGAGGGAGGAGATGGAGGTGGAGAGGGAAGTGTGCCAGTTGAGTATTGGAATGGGGGTGCTGGGAGGGGGAGCGAGGTTGGGCCACGGGTTTTCACACGAAGGGGTCGCGGGAGGGCATCCCTATGGAAACGTCCATCCAGCCCCCCATCCCAGCGTCGCTTCCAGCGCAGCTCACGGCTGTGGAGATAACTACTCTGACAGAGAGAGACAGAAACAGCCAAACACTCCAGAAGAGGACGTTGAGGTGTCTCGTTTCAACATGGGTCTCACGGTTGGTCCTAAGCCAAACGCCGTGACCTCTCAGCACAGGAACATCATCTCAAAGTCCAGTGGTTACCCTCCCACGTCCACCCACCTCTCTGTGGTGCGGGGACCCCCACACCTCTCCACCCTAGCTTCTCCTCAGCCACCCCCTTCCCCTGCCTTACTGGGGTCTGAAATGAACAACACCACCCCGAACAGACCTCCATCGAAGACCACTCCAACTCAGACCCCAACTCCCACTTCTGGTGGGGGGTCGTCCTCTGCCTCCTCTCGCTCCAGGACTCCCCTCTCATTGGCTCAGCAGAAATATAAGAAGGGCGATGTGGTGTGCACCCCTAACGGTATCCGTAAGAAGTTCAATGGCAAGCAGTGGAGGAGGCTGTGCTCCAGGGAGGGCTGCATGAAGGAGTCACAGCGTCGAGGATACTGCTCTAGACACTTGTCCATGAGGACCAAAGAGATGGAGGCAGCAGGGGGAGAGAGGGGAGGAGGAGGCAGCAGCTCGGGCACAGTCACCCCCTCTGACCTGCGGGGGAGAGCAAGCAGTGAGTTTGAGTGGGACGACACATCAAGAGAGAGCAGTGAGGCCAGTAGCAGAGGAGACTCCAGACCTCGCTTGGTCCTCCCCTCCCTCCTCCCCCATGACCTGTCGTCACGCTTTGACTTTGATGAGTGTGAGGCCGCCACCATGCTTGTGTCATTAGGGAGCTCCCGCTCTGGCACCCCCTCCTTTTCTCCCATCTCAAACCAGTCGCCCTTCTCCCCTGCCCCCTCTCCCTCGCCCTCCCCGCTGTTTGGCTTCAGACCGGCCAACTTCTCCCCGATTACCGCCTCGCCTGTCCTGCAGCATCGGAGGCACAGGCAGCCCAGCGGGACGGGGGGAGGAGGAGGAGGAGGAGGAGGAGCAGGGGGCAGCAAGGCAACAACCCCAGCTGGAGGAGGAGACAGGGAGAGACACACTTCAGGAATCCAGCCCTCCTTCCACAGCAACCTGATGTTTACAGTCCCCATGAGTCCCAGCAAAAGAAAGCCTGACGCGCCTCCTCCGCCACCCCTTCCCTCACACCACCACGATTACACACCCAAGACAGAGCAGGAGCAGGGGGACCTCAGCAGCTCCTTCAGGGTGCTGTCCCCCCAGACACCCGCTTCACATTCCCGCACACACACACCCACCTTCTCCCGGCCCAGAGGGGTGACCACCCCCTCCTCTAGTAGACCACCGTCCTCCACTGCCGTCTCCCCTCCTCCTCTGCTGGTTTCTCCAACTCCTCCTTCTCCTCTCACTCCCGATGGAGGGCCTCGTCGTGTGGTCCCTGTATCCCAACAGGCCTTGCGGGACTCCCCTGTCATTGTGAGGAATCCCGAAGTCCCACTGGCAAAATTTACAGAGTGTCCCCTGGGAAGAGGAGGAGGAGGAGGAGGAGGAGGAGGAAACGAGGGAGGGACAGATAACACCTCATCCAAAGACATCAGCCTAACACCCCTAACCCCTCAGCCGATTTCTGGCCTCCAGGTTCCCGTCCCCATTAACGCTGCTGCAGCCGCAGTACCCAATGGCACTGTCCTCTTACGGAGCCCAGCCCAAACTCTGGTGCTTGTGTCCCCCACACCTTCCTCCCTGCCCACCCTCGACACCCCTAACGCCCCCCTGCAGGCCCTGTCAGTCACTGTGAGCACCACAGTCACAGCTCCTCTTCCAAGTAGCACGGACAGCTCTGGGGAACGAGAGGACAACAGGGGGACAGGGTTTGGGGGTGAGGTCCAGCAGCCAGTTCCCTGTCACCCGTCTCCCACTGCTCTGCTGCCCCTGATCCTCCCAGCTGAAAGCCTTCACCCCGTCCCACGAAAAGACATCATCATGGGACGTCCTGGCACAGGTGAGAGTTGCTCCGTGAGTGTGAGTGTATTTTGTATGTGAGGTCAGTGACTTCGAGGGAAAGACGAGAAACACTTTGGAGAAATTAGTTTGTGTTAGTTTGTGAATTGGGCTGCAGATAGAAAAGAGCTGACGTTTAGAAAAACTCACACAACAACAATCACGTGTTAACTATGTTGAACCTCTGAAAGAAAATATATCATGTCGATAAATAATATTGATTAGAATAGAATATGAATTAGGGATACATGTATTATACAGTGTCTGTTTCAAAGTAAAGAATAATTACACAAATTCTCAGAAATTGGATTTTTCATTAATAGTAGATTTTTTTTTTCTGCAGTTTTCTGCATACAAATGAAAAATAAAGGAAATATTCTCCTCTATTTAATTTAAGATGAGTGCATTTTTTTTTTAACCTAACAGGAGTGTGGCATAAAGGGTTATATATTATATTAATCTATCACTAATCCATCTATCTTTTAGTTTGTTTTTACAATTTAATTAAATGTTATCCAGAGAATATATTCACCTAATTCACCTAATTCTTTAAATTGTACCTTTTTTGTTAACTAACAAAAATGGACACACATACACACTGTGAAGCTGAAGTTTACTGGCCTTGAACTAGCAGGTTAACAAGCATTTTGCAGTGTGAGGACAACGAGAGAGACTTCACTGAGAAACTCCACAGAGAAATGCAGATATAGTGCAGCTTTGTCATGAAAGAAGTACCAGAGGAGAGACAGAAGAAAGACTGTAGTTATAAATGTGAATTATATTTTCCTGTTATAT